TATTTATTTATTTATTTATATTTATATATATACTTATTTATTTGTTTAGTTATGCTTAAAAATAAAATTAACAATTTTCCCAGTCAGTGTTCTCAAAAAATGCTATAATTTTATCATTAGGGAAACTAACTGCATATTTCCAAAGTCCCAAATTTAAGACTGACCACATTTCTAGCTTCTGCGACAATGACTTCTGACCGCAGCAGTATTGTTGGAATAATGGAAGAAAAGAATCAGGGTCGTAGAGTCACTGATTGTGCTTGTTAATCATCCAATTGTCACATTTTGAGGGATAAATTAATGCTGCATTTTTAGACAAAAGATAACATAGAACAATAGAAAACATTTTGAGCAACAAAGCTTTCTAGTTGAAGCATAGTAAAAGATAAAGTAATAGTTCACAACTTAGTTGTTATCTTCGCTGTTATTTGGTGATTTCTTTAAAAACACAAGTCAAAGGTTTTCCTTAAAACATAAATTCCGGAAGTTCCTTGCATGTTGTAAAACAGAACTGAAAGCAAAAGTAAACTTTATTTTGAATCAAAAAGAAATCAAAATTAAAGCTGCGGAACAAATTATGCTTTTTCAGCAAAAGATGATTTCTTGAAACCAAAATTAAGCACAAATGTTCGATGGCTAAGAATGCTGAAAAAAAAACCATATGCTTGAGCGTCCTGACAACACAGTTTTTTTCTATATCTTTTTAGCAAACAATGCTTTTGTTTTTTCTACCCTTAGCTTTTTCAAAGCCTAGTAAACAGACAAAGTTCTCCTGATTCAGCTTATTTTTGGTCAGTTATCTGGCGAGAAAAAAACTTTATCTATAAGAAATTATGAATTAAATAGGATTTTTTATGGGTGAAGTTTTCAACAGTTAAAAGTTTCTCACACAAACAGGCGAGCCAGCAGTATATACAAGGTATGCGGCTTTTTTTCTCATCAAATAATATCGTGAATTAATAGATTTTATAAGGTTAATATAGAGAAATAGAGAAGTAGCTTAGACTCGCTTTATTTAGCACCAGTTCACATATATCGAAGCAGAAGACGACTAGATAGATAGTTTTCAACACAAAACTCACCGTTCAGTGGGATTTTTGAAGACAGCGTTCCACGAAAAATTTCTTTGCGCACACGTTAATCAGCGGTAAAATCTTGTTGCTGTCGCTTGAGTTTGAACCGACAAATCGATCATGATAGATATTACTATATTTACAGAATTTATTCTAGTCAAGATTTTTTTGATTACATATTACAAACTTTAAGCATCAATCCCATATCGATATTGAGCAGACATTTGACTATGCGTTGAAATGTATAAGTAACTTTTGACTGAACTAACTAAACTGTAGAATCAGATTAGATAACGAAGCATTAGCTGTACAACTTTAGATTATTGAAAAAGTATTAAAGGAGAAAGTAAGTTGGGGATGAATGATAAATTGTTTTGAAATTTCATTCTTTTATTTGGTATTTGTAGTCGATTTCTTAATGTTAACTCTTATCTCAATGCGGTGTTTCTGGTGCGCTATTTGATTGATTTTTTTGAAGCTTCACCTGTTATAAAATTTTTGTTCTCTGTTGAATTAAAATAAAAAAAAAACTGAGTAAACAAAACTATTTGAAAGTTCTCTTTCTTTATTGGATCTATAATAAATAAATTCAGGTGCTTCATGTAAGAGGGTATTCTTTTGAGTTTTACTT